TTCCATTTGTGAAGCCAGGAGATAAAGATGATTTCAGCACTTGTTTCTTGATTAGAATAGTATATTACTTAACAGGCGTATCCTGAAACTGAACTTTGGGTGGTTTTCATGTTCCATGTTGTAATGATACTGAACATGTTTTGTAGTGCGAAGGTGTGAAGAAAATGAATCCATTTAGTAATGTGTATGATGGTTACAATTGGATAAGTATTTTTTGTTGGGGTTGCTGAATTGATGACAAAGGTTATGCAAGGGCAAATGGCTGGGGTCGCATTGAGATTAGAATTGGAATGGGTTATTAGGATGTAGTTCTTGAGTCTGTCTGGGACATGGGTGAACAGAATTATTTTGGAATATGAGAACTGCCAATGACCTAGTGCTGCTGCTGTTGCTGTGCAATTGCTGCTGCTGTGGCAATTGCTGCTGGCTGGTCTGCTTGCTGTCGCTGCCAATTGTGTGATGCTGTATTGATGCTTGTGTGGCTGCAATTGCTGCTGCTTGCTGCAATTGCTGCTGCTGTGATGCTGTTGCTGGCTGCACTGGTTGTTGCTGCTGTACACTGCTGTGCTGTGTTGTTTGCTTGCTGTGGTGCTGCTGTTGTTTGTTGCAACAATTTGTGGTGGTGTTTCTGTAGCTGTCATCTTGCAACATTATAAGCATGGTTGCATATTGTGTTGACTTAAGTTGAGTTAGAAAAGATGAAACTGGGAAGAAATTAGCAAATGTAACTTTGAAATCATTAGTCAATATCATTTAAAATATAAAAAAAAGAGACCCAATAATTTTTAATATAGTATTCTTTTTTAATACCGAAGTTTTGCCCTTCTGCCTTGAATTACTATTTAGAAATTTAAACAAAAGAAATCCTTCTTTGTTCTTCTTGCTCCTTTTTATTTGTTCTTGTCTTTCTTATCGTTCAGAGTGCGGCGACCACAGTGAATCTCATGCAGGCAGAACTTGAAGGCAGCATATTGGTGCAGTCCAGGGAAGACTATTTATGGTCAATATCATAGCAGGACACGGATTGCTGTGGTGGCGAGCTGTTTGCTGCTATCTTGCTGAAGTGTGCCATGTGAGTATCCTTTGAATCTCTTTCAACATTTCCTGAAATGTTATATTAGTGAAAATAAATGTTAGATAAGGGTAAATAATACAGAAATAACTTGCTAAAAAACGATTTTAACTGGGAATAACTCGTATGTTTTTACCAGAAAAATGTACCCAAAAACTCAGATATATTAAACCTATTAAACAATATAAGAACTAACACGCACAGAGGCTGCTGCTGAAATGGTTGAACAAAGATGAAGTATTTAATGAATGAAATTGCATTTAAAATTAACAACTTTCATATGGATGTTATAATTCTTCCAATTTGAGCTTGCTTTACAGGATATAAGTTTATTTATTGAAGATAACCAACACATCCAACACATGTAGCATGAGTTAAAAAGTCTTCTGACAAGAACGCAAATATTTCTGAGAAAATGACACAAAATACATTAACTAACTTTAAAAAGGGATTACTGAATTAAAGGTTTCATGACATGTTTTGCACTTTGCGAGAGATTGAAAATCACCACTTATTATAATGCCTCTGTCAATGTTTTTAGTAGTTATGGGGTTAATTTTCATAACATGTGGTAATTCATGATTATTATTTAAATATTGCACATTAGCAAAGGATTTTGGGATAAAGTGCCTCAAATTATGATGAAGAGATGATTTCGTTCCTTCCCATATGGCTAATTATTTGCATTGGTCAAGGACGATGTGAAGGAGGCAGAGAAGATTGGAAATTAATAATGAAGTAACAAGTGAGGAAGATGTGGGTTGTGAGGTTGGGTTTGTAGTTTTGGTGTAAGTAGAAATTTAACATGTTCACATTGGAACTTAAAAACTTGCTTTCTAGTGTTAAAAAACTTCCCCAGTAGTTTATGGTCTGATTATTAAATATTAACTGCTATTTACTTGTCGACAGGTAATGTATTTATCCCCTCTATATATTAGTAATGGGCATTGGAATTCAAGTATCTGAAGTGTGCTACGTTTTGAATTTATCCTTTTACATTTCGATGATAGTGAAATGATCAAGTAATTAAGGGATGTAGCAGTTTTGGACCGGTTAAGCCAGAACAATAACATAATTATAAAAAAGGAAAACGTGAAATAAAGTAATTTAGGAATAATATAACGTCATTATTTGGAAAGTATATAACGTAAACAGGCTGAAAAAAGAAGGGGAAAAAGTAGGGGAAGAAGAAGATTTAAATGACATTGGCAGTACATTTATATTTCTTCTTCTGCTTCTATTCTGATCGTTGATTCATCTTTCTCTCTTTCTTGTCAGTCTTCTCTGCTCGAAACATCAGTTAGTTGAATTCTCGGTTCACAACTTGGAAGAGCTGCGCACTGCTCTTCTTGCTGGGGAGTCTCTGTTTGGAATGCTGATCGTTGGTCAATCCTGATGTCTTCGTCCAGGCGCGTGCTGACTCTCGTCGAAGTTGCTGTTCCCTGACAATTCATGATGAGAAACTTATGGTTTCATTGGAATTCAACCGCACATTGTGATTCCTAATATGTATTTAATCTGTTTCGTTGTTAAGGTGCAATATAAACAATTCATAGAACCGACTTGGTTTTTTATTAGGTTTTTTAGCGCTACAGCGAAAAGGAA